CTCTCTCTCTCTCTCTCTCTCTCTCTCTCTCTAATGACTTTTGATTTACTGAGTACTCAAAAAACTACTGAAATATTTTTTGCTTTCTTTCGTTTAATTATTTAATGAAAAATCTGTTTTCACTTTAAGCGCAAATATAATATAATGTAATAATGAGTATAAAGAATCGATTGAAAGGAATATGTTTTTCTTTGTAACGATATTTCAAATCAAAGTTTGCAACAAAATAAACAAATAAACAGTACTTTCATTAAAGCTAAATGAGAATTGAATTATACTTCTTATGAATAATATTCCTCTCAATAATAGGTGGGAATGAATACTATTAGCGTTAAGAGGGTTGGGGTTGGGGTTGGGGTCGAGGATGGACTCGTCTATTATTGCCCACAGAATTGTGCCATAAATTGCATGAATCCGTATGACTGTGCCATCAAAAAGGCCAGACCGGGGGCACTGTTTGTCACATTGTGGTCGCATAGTTACGCTTATATAACAGGTTGACTGCTATACCTCTCTCTCCTTTGCCTTTCTATCTCTCGCTCTCTCTATTCTCTTGCCTTTCGCTTTTCACTATTAGTCTAATGTATTGCTTGAGTAGTGAGAGAGCGAGAGAGAGAGAGAGAGAGAGAGAGAGAGAGAGAGAGAGCAGCCAACGCACTGACGTCAAGCAATACCCAGTAGTCTAACTCATGTAATGTTCGCACAGTTTTGTTCTGATATTTTTCGATATAATACCTCTCGATATATATGTTGTGTTATATATATATATTCTGTGTATATATACTGATATACAGAATATATATAAAGCGATGCAAACGCTTCTTGAGATGACGTCAGCAATGTTTTCGTCGTATAATTATTGATCTCCAGAATAGCGTTGAATATGATTGAGATTTTTATATAGTTGTCTCTCTCACATAGAATCTCTCTCTCTCTCTCTCTCTCTCTCATAGAATCTCTCTCTCTCTCTCTCTCTCATAGAATCTCTCTCTCTCTCTCTCACATAGAATCTCTCTCTCTCTCTCTTGGCACTACCAGTAAGTGAAGACCATTTATAAAATGAGTTCGTCTTCTAAATAAGAGCACATAGAATCTCTCTCTCTCTCCTCTCTCTCTCTCTCTCTCTCTCTCTCTCTCTCTCGGAACACATATTTCTACCAAAAATTTCATTTCATTCAATGCCTGCACACGACACTCATCTCTATTTTGGTTTACATTTTGAGTGAAAAAACTCTTTTCGCGTTTGTATTCAACTCTTCACTCTATCCGCGAATCCCTTTCCCATCGCAGCCGTCGATACGATCCCAAAGAGTTGAGTCAAAAGTCATGGCATTACCTAAAAATACTTCTCATTATTATTAGCTTAACATTTGAGTCGAGCCTTTCGTATATACTGTATGATTGTCTCTCTAATTGTCTCAATTCATAGATATTTATATATATTATTCTAGAAAAGAGTGACAGAAAGAAAGAGAGGGTTTCTATCCATTAGTTGTGCTCTTATTTAGAAGACGAACTCATTTTATAAATGGTCTTCACTTACTGGTAGTGCCCTTAATATATACAGTAATATTTGATTACTAACTCTTAGCACTCCTCACACCCTCTCTCTCACAGAATATCTCTCTCTCTCTCTCTCACAGAATCTCTCTCTCTCTCTCTCTCTCTCGTTTGCTGTTGTTTATGCTATGCTGTGCTCAATGGTGTGCACTCACATACACTCTCTCACTCACACACACTCACTCACGCTCTCCCTGTGCTCGCACTCCCAGTGCTCTCTATTCTGTGAACTTTATTCTGTATTCCATTCTCTGGATTCTGTATTGTATTGTCTCTGTGTTTGTCGAATGCATTGCTAACACTGTGTGTGTGCTATGAGTGAGAGTGAGTGCAGTGTTTCCACTATTTTGGTACTCAAAAAGTAGGTATCGATCCGTTCAGTGCCCGCATATAACACAATACTGAGCACAGTATATGCACTGATATATATACAGAATCGTATATATCTATCCAACAAATATATATATATACGGTATATCCAAATGTACAGTGGAGTCACTACACAATAATACTTATATATATAATAGAGAACTACAGAATAGCTGTGTGTATGTGTGAGTGGCGTACAGTTGGGTTGCATTCACTGTAATGTTTAGTGCATTCTGTGTGTAGACATAGTATGTGTAGAGAATAAATGTGTTCGCAATCCAATCGCCAATCGCTTTCTTTTGCTCTCTCTCTCTCTCTCTCTCTCTCTCTCTCTCTCTCTCACTCGCATAGAGTTATAGCTTTTTTAACATGAGAGTAGACAACCCGTCCCTTATTGATTAGTGTTGGCGACGGTTTCACGTTAGAGATATGGTTGTGCGCGAGCATTACCTGCCCTCACAAACCAGATTGAGTTTAATGTATTTGCATCACACAGACAGTGCCTTTTGTACACAAGTATATACTCGACTCTAGTTTTGTGTGTATTTTCATACACATAATAGTGTACTATCGCATAGTGTATGGTATTGTACAGAATCTATGGTATGCCTTTCCACTACCACTAAATAGGTTGAGTCGCTTCACTGATCTCTCCAATGAGACGAATTAGAATAATATATAATATAATATACACTAATATATAGTAATATATAGTAATATACACTTTCACCTGATTATCAAATCTCAATGAATGCTCTACTCTTTGGAGGCCTCGACTTACTCTCTCGACAGTCGACAAAGACTTATCATAAACTCCTTTCCCATTATAAACACAATTACAGAATAAACAACTGATTATAAGTTTATAACTCTTTTTTCGCTCTCTATTCGTATATATAATATACAGTCATAATCGCGGTTTTGATCGGGCAAATATTATACAAAATGTTATTTTGTATGTTAATATTAATATAAATGAGAAATGAATGTTTAATTCGTGCGAAAGTTTTTTACACCAAATTAATGGTCAGTTCCCCCACTCAACCAACCCTTTGTCGCCCACTCATTGTGTTTAGTAGTTATCGATTAGTAGAGAAAAACAGTTGATTTTCGCTATTGATTTGCGAGACCATCGCTGAGAGAAAGAACAGGCAGTCATAAGAGATGGCAATAGTCTTAAGACAACATAAAACACAACTTTTTTGCCGAAAGAGTTCTAACAGAATATTCTTATCATTTGTCGCACAGATATTCGTGTTATAATGACTCGTCTATGCCTGGCATGGGATGGCAGTCTCAACCACAACAGGGCCAGCAATGCCCGTCCCATCAGCAGTCGGGTCCCACTCAGCAGCAACTGTCGGTCGTAACCACGGTTTGGGGCGTAAAGACCAGTAACCAAAACGGACCGCCGATGGGTCCGCACACGTATAGCACGGCTAATGGGCCGCCGACTAACGGCCCCACCGGTGTAACTGGCGTTCCCTATGGTGGACAGACAGGTCACGACGGCTACAGCCCGTGCCCCACCACTCCTATGCCGCCACAAAAGTCTTACCAAACGCAGCCAATGGCTCAGAGAGGACCGGGACCCGGGTATGTGTCATATTTGTTGGCATAGTTTTGTATTGTATTATTCATTGTGTAGTACACATCGCATACGAGTACTTATTTTTATAATAAGATTATGTATTATAATATCAATCGAGTCATAGAGAGAGCGAAAAAATTATTGTTATCTCACTGTAAGCTTACGTATGAAAAAAAGTATTTTATCAAAACATTACATATTAATTGATTTAAATAACAGATTAAAAGCTGTGAACACATTATATATTAGCGTTTAGTTTTACGATGGATTTTATGCACACAGTCTGACAGTCAGTGTTAGAGAGAGACTAATAGTTAATCACTTTCTTTAAACATTTGACAATTTGTTGACAACTCGTTGTATTGATTTTGTGTTTGTCTTATAATTCAAGTGAATTCAATGCTATTATATAATCTGTTAATTGAGATCAATTAAAAGCTCATCAATTCTTACATAATATACTGAATATTCTTTACGATTATTACTCGAAAGTCGCTTAATTTGTGGGCTTTTCAGTGGGCAGTTGTGGGGGTTTTCATTGATAAGCGCATACAGAATATTCTGTATTCATAAATATATTTTCATGTTTTTAACAAATGATTCACAATTATATTTAAGGTAATAATGTGTTAAATATATAATAATAAATTTTTATACTTTGATCGCTTATCTCAACCCTTACCCCCGGATACCCCCATATATTTTGTTCCCTATTTGTACTCAACATTTATATACGACTACAGTATTACAGAATAATACAAATGAGAAAATGTTTGACAAAAATATTCTTCAATTCTGATGACTAACCTCTCGGTGTTATACAACAGACGCAAACGGAAACAACAGTCGGCGTCACCCGTGACCGACCACTTCCACCACCGCTATGGCCCACAAACGACGGCAACAGCTATGTCTTCGGGAATGGGACCTACGATGCCATCATCGGCGCCGACAACTAACGGCGACTTCCAGGGCGGACAGTCCGCCTTAAGTACGGCGGCACTCGTAGCCGCGGCCACCGCTACGGCCACCGCAACCGCCAGCGTCGTAGCCATGCAGGGAAGGGAACAGGATGTCATGTGTCAGCCACAGTATGGACAGGTATGTGATTAGAAAAGAATTCTTTCGTATATTGAGTATTCGCTAACATGTCTGTCCCCACGTCGGCACAGATGCAGCCAATGCACGGCCAGTCCTATCAGAGCAACAGTTATGTCCCGCAAAACAATCAACGAATGTCTTCGTGTCCGCCGCAGTCGATGAACGGCCCGATGGGTCACATGAACTCCATGTCCGCTCAGATGCATAACCCGAATATGATGTCCGGCGGCGCCACCAACGGAATGACTCCGTCGATGGGGTCTATGAATGGGCCGATGGTTATGAACAAAGGCATGAACAACGGGTCGATGGCACCCATGACTGGCCCGTCTCCCGGACCCATGTATGCCGGCGGTGGTGGTGGTGGACCCCGGGGCGCCCGACCCGGTCCTTACGCCAACCCTCAGCAACAGTATATGGCGCAGAAGCGACAGTACAATACCGGCGCCGTTCAGCAACACTACAACTCGGGACCAGTTATGCAATCGTATGGATCGGTATCGCAATCAACGGTTAACTACAACTCAAATCAAGTGAGACTTCAGCCAAATGTCTATTTATTTGGAAATTAATTCATTTTTATTATTCGTGTCATTAGTACACAAATAATCAGGGAATGCAATACCAGAAGCCAGGCATGCAATCGATGCACCCCCACCCCCACCCCCATCAACAACAACCACCCAATCATCAGCAACACCAGCACCCGGTGGTGGGCCCCACTGGGCAACAGTACAACCCGGCTATGCAATCGGTTCAGTCGATGCAAACACCGGCGGGCGGTTACCCCCAGAATCAGGTCCAGCAGCCCATGAAGCCGAGTATGAGGGGTCAGGCGCCCCAATACCCGCCCAATCAGTATTACGGACAGATGGGCGGCCAAGTGGGCGGTCAGGTGGTGGGTCAGGGCGGCGGTCAGATGTCGCATCAGGTGCCGCACCCGTCGCAGGGACCCCATAACCCCTCGCAGGGACCCCATAACCCCTCGCAATACGACCCCCAGAGCTACGGCTCCGGACAGTACACGACTCATCCCAACAACTTTCACCGCGCCATCAATAACTACCAGCACTCACCCATTCCCGGCAACCCTACGCCCCCACTCACACCCGCCTCCAATATGCCGCCCTATCTGTCGCCCAACGCCGACATTAAGCCCTCGTTCGTCGGCCCCGACACCAAACCCCGGCTCCAGACAAGTGAGTGATCGCTCTCTATATCCTTACTAATGGTATAAATGAATTCATATTTACGTCTCATTTGTGTGAATCAGGAGATGAAGAGCTGAGGCTAACGTTCCCCGTGAGGGACGGCATAATACTGGCGCCCTTCCGACTGGAGCACAACCTGGCCGTCAGTAACCACGTCTTCCACCTGAAGCCCACCGTTCACGAGACGCTGATGTGGAGGTCGGACCTGGAGTTGCAACTGAAATGCTTTCATCACGAGGACAGGCAGATGAACACCAACTGGCCCGCCAGCGTACAGGTGTCCGTCAACGCCACGCCACTCATCATCGATAGGGGAGAGAACAAGACCTCTCACAAGCCGTTGCACCTGAAGGAGGTGTGTCAGGCGGGCAGGAATATGATCCAGATCACCGTCACCGCCTGTTGTTGTGTATGTCATCCACGTGTCAATTGTCTTGAGATACATATGTCTTGAGATACATATGTCTTGAGATACATATGTCTTGAGATACATATGTCTTGAGATACAGTTGCATATCACTCGCTCAGACCTTATCTAATATCTATTTTACCTCCCGTTCCCCCCCAACAGTCACACCTATTCCTGTTACAACTGGTGCACCGGCCGACCGTGCGGTCTGTACTGCAGGGTCTGCTCCGCAAACGCCTCCTACCCCTCGACCACTGCGCCGCCAAAATCAAGAGGAACTTCACGAACGGCTCGCTTCCGGCCAATCAAAGTAATCAGACGGCGGTCGAGGAGGGAGTGGAACAGACGGCCATCAAAGTGTCCCTCAAGTGTC